GCCGGCCCGGCCCGCGAGCGGTGCTCAACTGAGCCGGGCCGGGCCGGGGCCGCCGCGGGTCCCCCCGGGCGCTGCCGCCGCCCCCCGGCTCCTGCGGCTTGGGGGGAGTCAGCGCCCTTCACCGCGGTGTCGTGCCGGGCGGCAGGAGGGGGGTCTCGAACACGCGGCCACGCCGCAGCATCCCTGGCAGAAGCGGCCTCGGGGCACCCGCGCACCGTGCAGCTTCGTGGCCGCCTGGCTCCCTGCCAGCCGCCCGCTCCAGAAGTTTTCGCGGAAAGGGTAGCACAGCAGGAGAAGCCGTTTCACTGCTCTCCAGCCGCGTGCCCTAGCAAGGAGGGAAGAACAAGCACGGTTCCCTCGAGGCTTCCAGAGCTGCGGGACAGCGAGAGCCGGCGCAGCTGGACACACACGCGGCCTCTCCTCGGCTCGGGGGCACAGCAGCCAAGGCCTGTCCCGAGGCTGCTCTCCCTGCTCAGGTGTCCCGTGCAGCGGCACCAGCCCCACGTCCGCCTGCGGCCACCCCTCGTGTCCTGCACCGCGTGGCCGCACACGACCCCAGAGACAGGGAACAGCCCGCGGAACAACCAGCTCCCCCTGCAACACGTGCAGCAAGTGAACAGCTCCTCAATCCCAGTCCTAGAAATCTGATTTCCAATATTTATCCTGGCAGAAGTGGCTCCCGCTAGCACAGGAGATACCACCCCGCAGTAATACCTTTAATGAGGACACAGATCCTAAAGTGTCATCATTTAAAGTGAGCTCTCTAAAGTGCTATTTTGCTTCAAGAGCAAAATCAGGGATAATATGAATGTGTATCTGTATTTACATGGAGCCCATATAGCTTAACTTCCTCAAAAAATGTATACACACGGGGGAATGCCTCTATAGAGAGGAGGGGGGAAAAAACAAACCCTACTTGGTTGCTAAAAGGGAAGTGGTTGGGAAATCCCTCAGACCTGCAACAAGAAATATTGCAGCTCATGGGAAAGACCAAAACACGGGCACTGAGGCCCAGCAAACTCATTGCAGCATTTTGGGCGAGGTCAGTAAAGTAGTACCCACCTTGTTTTAATCATTAAGTAAACATTGCTGAAGGGAGAAAGTACTTGTTGGAATAAGTAGTTTCTAAGGGCTATTAAGCAGGTTGCTGCCACCAAGTTCTTGTGAGGAACTCAACTATGTGACCTTGCTACGGCTTTCACTTTTACTGAAATCCGAAAAAACATTCCCGTTGAAATCAGAGGGAAAGAGCCTGAATAAGGAGTGAACAAGTGAGTGCAGGTTTAGTGGCTGGTCCTGCTTTTGTTTTGTAAAAAATAAGACAATTATGGAATTAAAAGGGAAAAAAAATGGTGAGTTCCAAACAAAAGACATTGCAGCTCCTGACCACAATCTAGGTTTGACATCCCTACCAAGGGCTCAGTCTCACGCGGCACTAGAAGGCCTGAAGTGACATCAGTGGATGAAAAAGAAGAGAAGCTGGGAAGTATACACTAATTTGCTTTTCTTTTTAAACAAAATAGTGTTTTATGTTACCTTAATCCAGGGACAATTTGGAAGCCTAGCAAATGAGTCAGGTGTGTGTTTTCCTTTCTCAATTCCTCTTCAATTTAGCTTATTAAATAAGCAAACTTAAATAATTTCTGCTACACTTTAAATCCATATGATGTCACTTGGACATTAGTAGCAATGTATTTATCTTGGGAGAACATTAAAGATGGAATAAGAGCCACGGTATCTTTTTGTTCTTGAGGGGAATCCAGCAGATTCCCTCTCAAGCTGCGACACACTTTCAGAACCTCCATAAAACCAGAGATTTGGGATTCTGCTCTCATTTTTCCTTTCAGAGCAGTTAGAAGTATAAGGTATTTACAGTTTTAAGTACAGTTTAAGTACTATTCCCTTCTTTTCAGCTGCTTTTATACAAGTTAGGGTTTACCTACAGCAAATGCATTTTCCTTGGTCCCAGCTAGCCTCGTTTTTGGAGAGTCACTTAGAGAAAGGCTGTTCCCTCCAGATCCAGACATGCACCTGCTAATGCCAGCAGTTATGATTCAGCCCATAACACACAAACTGTGACTTTGTTCTGTCTTCAGCTACACTTTCTTCTGAGTCATCATCACAAGCCAGGTCTGAAAGCCATGAGGAACCCTCAGCCTGCTTTCCTGCAGCAAGAGCAGATACTGCCTCCAAGTGAAGCCACCATGGACAAGCCAGAAAACATGCATATGCAAACTGGCCCTGTATCAAACTTGGGATATGGGGAGAAGCAGGAGCATGGGCAAGGGTGCCGGTTTGATAGCACAGAATCAGCCTTAGAAAAATCCTGAGATCATTTTGCCATCATAGGGGTTGCAACCTGCAAGGGGGGACAAAACGGGAGCGCTGCATCCCTGCTGTCACCTGCTTGGTGTCCATGTCCTTCCCTAAGCAGCTGCAACAATGAAAGGATGCGAAACATAAAGAGCAGGATAGAGGAGACAAAGGTGCAGCACCAACCTGCTCCAGGTCAGGAAACCATCAGAAACCTCCTTGAATCAATGGGAAATCCCTTTAATTGATTGCAACGGGCTTTGAATTAGCCAGTAGTCTACTTAACAAGACCAACTGCAGGAAATCAATATTATTTTGCCTCATCCCTTGAAGCAACAACAACAGTAACTTTTGGCTTAGAAAATGGTAAATTAATTCATTAAGTCCCTTGCTCATCAGATTTTAGGGTCAGTTAGTTTATCTAAATCATCAAAACAGGCATAAATTTCCCATGTATATACAGTCACACATATGTGAGTTGGTAAAGAAAAAAACTTTTGTTTTTGGTGTTAATTCAGATCAAGTATTCATTGATACCTCATTTCTCAGCAGCTCTTTCCAGCAGAGAGAGCTTTCCAAACATCCACAAGCACCAACTTCCCTAGCTTTGTAGAAGGCCGAAGCCCCCTATTTTGCCAGAAGTATTTAATCACTTCAACCCATAACTCACAAATTTTGACCACATTCTAGCAAAAAAAAAAGTATTCAGGTATAAAAGCTATTTATGGAGCAGAAATGACCACTAGAATCCAAGGTTTCTGTCACTTTAAAAAGTAGTCGTCTTGGAGCCTCCAAAATAACCTGGGTGTACTGGGCACTATAGGGTTACTTTTTGGCAGAATGAATATCCTGTTGCTGTTGAGTGCAGCGTTACAGTATCCTGACATACCAGCACCCAGTTATTGTGAGATAAAGACCATGCTGAAAAACAAACAGATTGCAGCCCTTGAAAACAGAAAAGCAACTGTCCAATCATATAAATATTAACTTCTTTAAGAGGGCAATGCCCAGAGCTGTGTCCTTTCTGGCATTAGCATTCAAGAATAAATGCCCTCACTGAAGCTAAGTGGTGCAATGGGTTCCCTTCCTTAGGGATGCCATTTTCAAGCAAGATAGGAAGCCCTGGTCAGAGAGAGCTCTTTATATATAAAGATTTGCTTGTAGAGCGTCCCTTGATAGAAACCTGTGGGAGCAGTAAGCTAAACTTCTCCTTGGGGTTTCTTTTCCCCATTCGTATACTTGTGGAATTTAAGACAATTGTAGTCTTAGCTTAAGACTACAGTAAAAGAAAGTAAAAGAAAAGGAAAAAAATCCACTAGTACCTACTTTTTAGAAGGAATTGACAAGGATGATGCTTGCAGAAAGACACACGTGTTCCTCAAGCGCAATCCACACTCTTCTTGAGCATCTTCAAATTTTTGGGCAAGTCCAAAGGAAATTGCCATGGAGAAACTTCCATTTTTTACTGTAGAACTAAATCTAATTCCTGAAAGAAATATTTTAATGAAACTTATCTGAAAAGTCTTGGTGAGAGATGGAGAAGAGTTTTCCAGGCAAGAAAGGGTACATTTAAGCCTTGAAGCCTGCACTGCCTTCGCTCACACACATTTCAGTCAAGCTGTGTGGAACGGATGGTCTCAGGTGGTCACCTGGACTCGGTGATGGAAGTAGGGAGCATCAGTTTTGGGAAACAAGGTCAAGGGCCACCAAGAAGATGCTGACAGGACTCCTAGGAAAGCAAGGAGTGACCTGTCCGTGATGCCAAGCCTGCCTTTCCGGTGCACTGGGAAGGGGTGGCCACTTGCCAACATCTCCTTCACTCCATTCCCATCTTTCCATCCCACCGTCCTCCTGTGGAAAGAAGTCACAAACATCAGGCTGCTGCTCTGAGGTCCCTTATCACAAGAGACCTTGTGATAAGGTCCCCTTAACCTCATGGGTTAAAAGAGTCCCCCCCAAAGGGACTCCGGGGTACCTTTAACCCATGGGTTAAAACACAAAATAATTAGTGACCAATGCTAGAGAACATGTGAAAATATACAAACAAGAAAAATCCACATTTATTGAGAAACGCAACTGTATTGGGCTAGATCAGATCCAGCCACAAACTGGAAAGAGCCTTCCCAAGGACTCATTAGTTATCTTGTTATGTCTGCTAATGAATGCTGTAGCCTTCCGAGAACATACTTTTT